CCCTCCGACTCTCCTGGTGGAGAGGGGGAAGCCGCTCTGAAGCGGGGCGGGCGAGCCGGCGGGTTTCCCCGCAGGGAGGGGGGGTGCGGTCCTGGCAGGCTGCCTGTGAAAGGGGTGCGGGCACCCCGCGTGCGGGGGCGAGGGGAAGAGCCTGGCTTTGAGACCTGCGGAGCCAGTCGCCGTGGTGCTGGCACTCGGCGTGCCGCGAAACGCGTCCGGTTTGGGTCTGTGTGGTGAGCGCTGTTTTGGGCGCCAGAACTTTGTCTGCAGTTGTTCCGCTGTCTTTGCGCGAGTGCCAGGTGCTGCATGTGCATCGGATCCCCCGTGAGCATGTGTCGGGAGGGGTGTACGCTTAGGAATCTCCACAACCCCGCTGAGACGTCGCCCTGTGCGAGTGCAGGGAGCTCTCTGCCAAGAGACATTATTAGTGTCTGCGGCGATCATGGAACTATGCGGGAGTGGCGTGTCACCACGGGGACTACCAGGTCGGGTGAGCAAAGCCTGCTGGCTAAGTGGGCAGAAGACCCGGGATGCTGTGCTACGCTCCACCTGCAGTGCAAAGCATGTTGCAAAACACATGCTGCTTATGCTTATCTAAACATGAGATAGTTACGTCACATGTAAAATGGTTAAGGCAGGGCTGGAGTTACGATGTGGGCTAACAATTGAGGGGGAGGTTATAGCTCCCAAAACACTAATTCAAATGTATGTAGACATGCTGTCTACCTGAATCTCTGCAGATACCCAATGAAACTGTAGGTTTTGAAAGCTTTTGGTGGTGTAGTCACCTAGCAGCTAGGAAAGACAAGCTTTTCCCTGAACCTAAAAGTATATCTAAAGGGATACAGCTGCTACTGTGTGATCTGTCAAAATAAAGTTCCTTTGGCTAACTAAAAGTATAATTTTTAAAAAGGGAAGCAAGAAGAGTTGTGTCACTTCATAACTGTGGTCTGGACCAGACGTTTCTGCCTGATTTAATCTACGATGTGTAAGATCAAACTGAACCAAAACATTCTTCACGTCAAGGATAGATACAGGGGATTGAACTGACTATCATTTTGAACTTAACTTAGAAGTTAGTTAAACCAAACTTCTATAAAGAAAAATGTAATAGGAAACATATACAGGACATGCACATAAGTCAGCATGAATTAATCTAGCAGCTCCCCACAGCTGAACGGGAAAAGTCCTGCTTTCCTTTCTCCCACGTCTGTCTCTGGTACTTTAATTACGATCTGATTGAATTTACTTGCCTGGCAGAAACCTAAACCAGAAAAAGCAGATAGTTTACTACCAGGTTAGTCAACTGAACCAACCAAGGGACTAGTCTAACAAGTACTGATGCAGAAAAGGTGTTAGAAAGCGTGTGTGGAGGCAGACGGATACAGTAGAGTGATGCCTTTGCAGAATGTACCTTGAACGTACTCTCAGAGTTCCTTCTGCCTTCTTACTAGCAATAAGCTAGAACATGATATTGGAAGGCTGTTTCCTGCTTGGTGTCTTATGGGTGAGCAAAACTACTTACTTCTTTGAAATGAACAGCAGATAATTATCATCTTAATGATAAGAAGAGATGCCCACTGCAGTCAGTAGATTCATTAAGTCCAAGGTTTGTGTGTGTCATTACAAACGTTCCACGTACAGTGTTGACACTAAGCCACTGAGATGGCACAGTGTCCCTTCCTGATGTAGGCCACTGTCTATTTTGCATAAATTCTTAATGGATCTTTATAATTTGTATTAAAAGTCTGGGGATCAAGGACTGAGAACCCACTCACGTCTCTTTCCCCTGCATACCTGAAATGTATACCAAACTAGGAGGCTAGAGCTGCACGTTTCCTTGTCCTTTTTCCCTCACTCGGTGTCTCTTAATTACATGCAATTGAAGGCATAACTTCAGACGGAAGGCTTAAAGGCATGCAGAACAGCCTCGCCTCTAGTTTGGTACTCTTGCAGATCATGTAGGTTGAACCACTCGGGCAGAGGGATTGACTCCAGCTTTCCTGCTTAATGGGTGGGTAGTAAAGCAGTGTACCATTACATTAAAAGGAAGTGCCAAGCACCACTCCAGAGCAGCATGAGAGAAGAGTGAGAAGAGTTCCTTAACCCAGCACTAACATGAAAAGAAGTGTTCATTTAATTGCAGCTTAGCTTACAATCCTTTTAATGTGACTGAAAGCCTTAAGCCTGTTGGTAATGCAACTAGCGCTGATGACCACTTCATAGGATGGCATGGGGTATAAATGAAAGGCATTTCTAAAAGCTGGAAATGGCATTAGGACAGGCAAGGTATGGCTTTTCCTTCACTTCCTCCATTTCAGGTGTTTGCATAGATTCAGGAAGAAAATTATTTTTGTTGGCTGCAGCTAATACTATTGAATTATTTCAGAACAAGACCATGAGGATGAAGCACGGTACTCTGTTCCAAAGATGGATTGAAAAGTTGTTGCTTGTTTCTCCCTCTGTGATGCAGTTTACCATCTACACTGTGCAGTTCTACTGCGACAGCTGTTTCTAGGGTCTCACTGTTCAGGAGATCACCAGAAACTGGTAAAAATAGCCTTCTGCAAAAGAGGAAGAATCGCAAAGGACTTTGCAACTTCTTACGTTAATTTCTGGAGAAAGCTGAATTATTGTTGAAAAAAAAAGTCTGAATGGACTCTCTTGATTCAGAATAAGAGTGTTTGCTTAGTCATGATCTGAAATAATCAAAAGAGGTAATTTAAAACTGTTAACATTCTGCCACTACTGAAAAAAATTTAATACAGGGGAGAACGAGAGGAGGAGAAAGGAAGAGCAACTAAGAAGAAAAATTGGAGTAGTCCTAAAGGGCACCACCTTTTCTCAGTGAACAAATGAAGACTGTAACAGCACACTGCTGAGTACATTATGGGGATTTTAATCACAGCTTTGTATTTAAATCAGAGACACCTTTTATACATCCTGCAATTTTTAAGCAAAGCATACAACTAGAATAGAGTCCATTACTCAGATCATACAAGATTAAAAACTTACTTCAGACTTCCTGTATGTGAAAATTTGCATAAACAGCCTTTGAAGAAATTAGGCTGCAATTTGGCAATATTATCAACAGCAGTAATACTTGAAGCATAGTTCTGGACCCTGTCATTTAAAAAACTGTGGTATGTCTATCAATCATATGAAAATGTCTTTTGAGAGATGTATTCTACCTTGCATTCTTCAGTAGGTCCAGGGCCCAGTGTTCCCCCAGGAGAAACTCTGTCTTTAGGTCAGCATGGAAGGCACCAATGGTCTCAGCTCTGTACCTACAGAGTTACTTTCCGGTTGCTGAAGTAAGCAGTCTGAACAAATGCTGTCCTAGCCTCTTGGAGGAGAAGGGGAGGGAGCCCCTCCAGCGGTACGAAGGAGGGATGAGGGTTTATATGCTGCTGTTCTTGTCCTCCCATGAGAGGAGACATTTCTTTCCTGCTGTCACTGCTCAAAGTGTAAGCCAGGATACAGAAGGCCTCGTGGCGCTGTGTATTTAAGACTTTAAGTTGATCTTATTTCTTGTGTGGCTGTACGATCCCAAGGAATTAAAGATGTTTATCTGGCCATACTATTACACAGTGGCTTGCAAGCTGCCTGGCATGTTCTGCTGCATAATATGGAGGGGGGCCAACATACTGTTTACAGCCCTGAGCCAGAACTGACCCTGCTGATCTGCCCAGACCTGCCAGGAAAAGCACTGGGGACATGTTCCCTTATCTACAGACATAGCAGTGACCTGCAGAAAGTAACACGTTCCTACTGAATAGGTGCCAGAAACCAGCTGCTTTGCTGGTTGGAGATAAGTGGTCTTATCTCCTCCTCTTCTGCCTCTCACCTGTTTTTTTACATCCTCTGCTTATTCCTGCTGTCTGCATCCTGAAGATTTTTAGGCTCAGTGAAATTCTCCCTCTGGTCACCCATAGCTGATGACTTATCCCAAATCAAGTCCCCAGGTGGTCAGCCAAGCAAGAACCTTACTGAAGGGGAGGCAAACAACTGGTTTTAATGGGTAAGAGATGGGAGAAGTTGTAAGAGGCAGCACCATCCTGTCACAGGTGCTAAAACCAGCCCTGTCACAGAGCACTCACGTACTGCCTTTTTTAAACTCTTAACTTCAAATACATCTTGTTCCTTAAATAATTAAAAAAAAAAAGAGAGCTGTGTAATGCTACACACTGACTGTGTCTACTTTAGCAAGTAAAATGGCCCAGTAGGAATGTATCTGTAGAGCAGACTAGTTTGTGTGCAGTACCTTATGTCCTCACTACACGGGTTTTGGGCATTTACTTTGGATTTGCTTCAGTCTGGTCATGCAGACTGAGCACCGATTGGAGTGCATTTTCAGTTAAGTTTCATCCGAAGAGAGTCCTGTTCACATGCTTTTGAGATGGTTCTGCTATGCAAACTAAAGCACTGTAAGTGGACTTCAAAAGTACACTCCTGAGCTGAATTAAAATACTCATGTAACACTTACTGTTAGACAGGGCGTAGGACTTTTGCAGTATTATAGACAGAAAAAGAGAATACCTTTGAAGTCAAAGTATTAGGTAAGGCTTATATTTTAACATGTCTTTTTCCTGTTGTCCCCTTCCTTTTAGTTTTAGCATTCTTATAAGAAAATGGAGACAATTGATCTGCTGGATGTTAACAAAGGTAGTGTTAACTGATCAGCAGAAGGGAGAAGAGGAAAAATAGTCTGATCTGCTCTCTTGAAGATGAAACAAAGCTAACACATATAAAAGGGGAAATAAAGGGAGCAGAGATTAAAAGAATGTTTCTGGTGTTCTTATTTGCAGCTTTATCTCCGGAAAAAGACAGGCATCTTAATCACCCATTCCAGAAGATGGCAGACTTGACAGCGCTATTTTTGCTTGAAATTAGTAGAACTTTCCTCCTGCCTAATCCAGCCTCTTGATCATTTACTTCTCTTGCTCAACTAGATTCTTGTATCTGTGGACAACCTGGGCGTTGTGCAGTGGCCCATTACTCTCCCAAATGGCTGTGGTGAAGAAGCTGACCTTTTCCTTTTCTTCCAGTGCCGGGGTTCTCTTAACCAGAGGTCATCCTCTTGTTCCTGTGAAGTTAAAAAAAAAAAAAGGAGGAATTTATCATCAGCAGCATATCTCGGCTAATTTGTCCCTTTTATATCAATTGCTAATTCCCTTCTATAGAAAGTCTATATAGAGGCAAAAGTCAACTCTGCGTGCAGACTGCTTTTCAACTCCATGGTGTGTAGAGAAGGAGAATTACCTCGGATCAGGAGGTCACCTTCTGTTTTCTCCAGGAGTATTACAGCTGGGTTCCTGCCTCGGTCCGCTCTGCCTGAGGGAGCTGTGAAAGAGGAGTTTGGCGGACTGGGAGCTGCTGTGCAGGGTCCCTCGGCAGCAAGGAGCGGGGACTCCCGTCCTGTTGCTTCTGAATGGCAAAAGCAAAGCAGCGCAGCATCCTGCCGCTGACATATCCAAATGTGACGGCAAGCTTGCCAGGTGGCAACGGTAACTTCAAAAACTGCTCTCCTGCTTTTGCTCTGCTAATTCAGGCTGCTTCAAGAACACCGTAGTGGAGCGGGAGTACTGCCGTTGTTATCGTTAGGAATAGCTCGTTATTTAATAGATAGATAGTTTACGAGTGTTCAAAAATGCACAGGCCTCAGCAGGATGGCCATTGATATTCAGTATCCACTGCCATTTGAGGGTTAAAGTTTGTATCTGCAGTGTGGAACTGGCCCAGTTGTAAAACTGAGAAAATTACCTTGCGGGCAGCAAAACTGTAACTAAATTGCAGTCCAGAGTACTAGCAAGTTGCTCTGGATATCAGAAGAATTTAGGCTGGCGTTGTGACTTTTGAACTGGAACAGCATCCATGTACTACAAGACCGGGATTTAAATTTGTGGCTTTCTAAAAACATATATGCTGTGCATACTAGTAGCTCTCTATTTGCAAGGGCTCATAATTCTTTCTCCTTCAGAGCAGCATTACCCAAACCACGATATGATCTCCTGTGTAGAGCTAAAAAGGAGTATGTGTGACAGGTGAGACAGGTCTTTTAAAGAGTGGGAACACTAGTTGGGGATGGAAGAAAATAGGTAAAATTTCTGGCTTTTAGAAACTTGAAGTGCATTATAGTATTCAGTCATAATTTAATTCTGTCTACAGCAATGGCTGGAGCCAGAAACCAGATATTTTTTTTCTGATGAAAATGGAATGTTTTGCAAGATTTTACTGATTTTTGAGAGAGTGGGAAATCCTTGAAAATGTGGTTTTAAAACCGTAAGTGTCAACAAACAGCAATAAATTGTGCTTTGCCTGTATTTCTGATCTGATCTTTCTCCCCCTTGCTCAAAAGGGGGAAACATTTCTCTGCAGTAAACCTCAGTATTTTAACTTTTGATCTAAACTGATGGTAACACTTTATTGTGCTTTGCCTGTATTTCTGATCTGATCTTTCCCTCCCTTGCTCAAAAGGGGGAAACATTTCTCTGCAGTAAACCTCAGTATTTTTTTGATCTAAACTGATGGTAACACTTTATTTATTTTTTTTACTACTTTCCATTTCACAAATCTGTTGTTGTTGTTAATATGTTTACTAAACTTCAGCAGGAAAATTGACACGTGAAAAAAGAATCCCCGTCTATATGTTTCTGCATATAAGGCTGATAGACAATACTGCTTACTTTTTTTTTCTTAAAATCATGTGAATTGCTCTAATTCTTTGAGTTACTCCTGTATCTCCAAAGAGCCCATGTGATGAACTCTCTTTGCTGATTCCCTATTTCCTCTTCAGCTGGCGTTTGGGGACAGCAGAGGCATGTACCTCTGATTCTGGTGTCGGAGCAGGAAGGGAAAGGGAGAGTTTGGGTAAGGCATTTTGTCGGGGAATGTGGAGACGCTGCTGCAGAAGGGAAGAGCAAGCTGAATGAGCGTGCAGGAGTGAGGTTGCTAGGCTCTGCAGATGAAGGGCTGTGGTATGTGGGGCTGGCCGGCTGCTCAGACCAAGAAAGCAGCCTGTGGCATGGAAACAGGCGCAGGACACGAAAGGAGGAAGGAACAGGAACGAGGAGGCAGGGAAGACCAAAAGTAGGGTGGCAAGAGGCGGAGGAAATGGGGAGCAGCAGCTTAGTTTCAAGAAGCAGCAGGTACATACCTGGGCTCAGTAGAGCATGCCACCGTCTGGGATCTAGAAGGGAGCCCGAAAGTCCCAAACTCTGGGACTCCCTCCCAAGGGACCTGGGGGGACAGAAAGGACCTTGAAATGGCTCCAGTCACGCCTCAGCCCGTTAGCACTGACAGACTGCAATATGTGTATTTTATATAACATGATAGAGTTTCTCCTTTCCTCTTACAGTAGTGACTAGATTTGGCCTTGCTTATTGGAAACCTTTCATCCATCAAACGCTTCTTGGCAAAATGTGCATTTCATCACCTTTTATTACTGCTCCATATAAAACATGACTACCTACTGCTACTATTACTCCATTAGTGCAAGTAGCAGAGATCTATCCACTGCTACACATTTCAGCTAGGCTAATGAGCAGTGTGGATGCCAGTATTGTGGGATGTGATGAATTTCCTTTTTTTTTTTTTGAGAAGAGGTTTTTTTGTTTTGTTTTTAATCAGGCTAAAGAACACAAGTTTGCAAAGTAAAGCCAAGTTATGATCAAACGCTTCTTGGCAAAATGTGCATTTCATCACCTTTTATTACTGCTCCATATAAAACATGACTACCTACTGCTACTATTACTCCATTAGTGCAAGTAGCAGAGATCTATCCACTGCTACAGATTTCAGCTAGGCTAATGAGCAGTGTGGATGCCAGTATTGTGGTATGTGATGAATTTCCTTTTTTTTTTTTGGTAGAAGAGGTTTTTTTGTTTTGTTTTTAATCAGGCTAAAGAACACAAGTTTGCAAAGTAAAGCACCAAGTTATGAAATGCCAGAATTAAAGTTGCTTCTGCTATCCCAATTCAGCTCGTTGTGCACATGCCTTTAGAAACACTAGTTGCGTGAACAGACTTCACGTACTCATGGACAATGCTTCCTGTGTCAATATGTATTAAAACATAATATATTTATTGTCTAATATGTGGCAATGTTTATTGCATGCTACATGAACCTCACCTAGGTGACAGAATTTAATTTACTCATGAGTTTCTGTATGGTACTTCTCACCATACTACCAGAGTGCTTCACAAATGTTTGCTTCTCACTAGAGCCACAGATGAATAATCTGGAGGCATTCCTAAATTAGACTGGGAGCTAACACACAGAAAATGCAAGAAAAAAACTCCTTCTACCTATCTTAGCTGCTCCATGTGAAATGCTTCTGACTTTGATTTTTTTCAAAACTACTACATGCGTAGTCCCCGTGAATTTTGGTTACAGCTTTGTGTGCCCAGTACTTCACAAATCAGATGCAAATCTGAAGTTAGAAAAGAAAGAGCGTACTAGTGGAGATCTCTTGTGGAACTCTGGTGTTAAAGTTGGTCAGCATCATGTAAGAACACATTGAGGTGGGAGCAGGGATTGAATTTTTTAGGACAATGTAATGGTATTAACCATAAAATTCCCCCTCTTCCCCTCCCCCCGTTTTTTTTTAATCTGGCTTCTTGCCACATTCACTGTATTTGTCACAGAATTTGGAAATGAATCGGAGACTAAAGTCTTGATTCATGTATTTCAGCATTATCCACCTCACGTATTGAATGAGGCCAGAAACTGTAATCCTCGAATTTCTTGTACTTCAGTGTCAACTTTGATATAATAACGTTCCTGCTAAGGTATTTTCTTCTGTATAATATAAAGAGTAAGTCATCTGGCATGTATCCCCTGAGATGGAAATACAATATCAGGAATGTATACCGTGACCTGTGTTGATGATGTTATCTATATAAAGTACACGTTCCTAATAACATGTTCAAGAAAGCTATAATCTGGACCATTACAAACGCTTGTCTACACTAATTTACAACTCTCATCTTTTTTTTTCTCCTCTACTCAGGATATCCTTTTGCCTTGTTCCAGCGCTATTTCCTCTTCCAGAAGGAGACCTACCTCATTCATCTCTACAATGTGTTCACAGGACTCTCAATTGCTTACTTCAATTTTGGTAAGATGAGTTTGGGAAGAGAGAGCTGCCTGGCCCAGGGTGTGCTGTGGTTTGGGAGGACCTATAATGGGAAAATATGATTTCTACTTCACCTCTCTCTCTTTCCCCGCTCCACAGGGATGCAGTTCTTTCATTCCCTGCTATGTGTCCTAATCCAGTTCCTCATACTGAGACTTATGGGTCGCACAATCACTGCCGTCTTCACCACGTTCTTCTTTCAGATGGTAAAACTCTCTTTCTTACTGCATCGGTTTGTAGAAAGGAGCCCTCTGTTTAGTTTTGCACTTCCCACTAGCAACTGTGGGTGGAAAAGTGGAGACAGATCAAAACCAGCTGGAGGAATTAGTTTGAATAACCCAAACAATGGTTTCTTTCAGACATACCTTATGGCTGGATATTACTTCACAGCCACAGAGCATTATGACATCAAGTGGACAATGCCACATTGTGTCTTGACGCTCAAGTTGATTGGTGAGTGACACCTCCTTCCTATCTCTTGCACTCTACAAGCTGTGCCTCAGGGAAGAGGGGACTGCTTGTTCAGCCCAACCAGCCCATCCCAGGGCTTCATATAATTGTTTCTCACCTCTAGGTCTGGCCATCGATTACTATGATGGAGGAAAAGATCTGGTGAGTAAGACACCATTCTCCTTCATTCCTCCTCCGCTCTTCAGTGCCATTCCAGTGAGCTAGAGGTCAGAAAATCAAGTTCAAAGGATGCGAGTTAGCAAGCTGCATTCATTGTTTGGTAAAAGCCATAGCTGAGAGGGGGGAGCATCTGTGAGTGTCTGAGGGCACTGAATTCTGGAGTGGAAAAAAGTAATTTGGAACAGAGACAGTAGTGATTAGAGATGGACAAAAGTTGTTTTAATCATGTCAGAATATTATTCTGCCCCCCTCCAAATTCCCCACCATCTCCTTCCCCCAAATCTGTTGCTTTAGATTCCCGATCCCCAATGCTCTGTGTCTTGTGGGTAGCGTACCTTTAACTTGCAGACTATCAGCACTGGATCTCAGTTACCATCTTCCTTTCCTTTGTTTAGTCTTACCATATCCTTGTGGATGGTTACCCTTTACTGTTTGTTAGGGCCCTGTTTTTAGAGCAGATGAAACAGTGAGAGGAGTTGCATGGCACAATGTGTGGGAGAGGGCAGAACACTTGCTACAGTGTCTTACTTCAAGTATTTGCATTCCCCATCTCCTGTTTGGGGCCTGACACAGTCTTTAGCATCCATGGAATCGCTGCTGACTGCACGAAAACAAGTTTGAGCTGAAATTTACTAAGCTGAAGTTTAAAGTATTGAAAGACAATGAATTCTTGCATCAAGAAGTAGGAATTGTAGGACGATAAGGTCTTGGGAGAGTACATGCGATTGCAGTCAGGGCCTGGAATAGGTCAGGTACAGTGCTTTTACTATGCCTGCTACGCTGGCAGGGATGTATGTCAATAGATCCCTTCCATGTTTTGAGCTTATTTGGGAATACAGGTCTGTGCAACTGGTCTCAGCCATTGGATCTTGTTGCTATTTAGAGGGGTGGGGATAGAGAGGGCTGGGGAGAGGAATGGATGTGAAGTACAAAGTGGAAAGCTCCATATACATGGAGAGCAAGAACTGAGACCATTAAGGAGGTAGGCTGAGAACATAACATCCAGAGCTAGTATGAGATCCCCTAGGATGATGTTAATGCCACTCCCTTTGGTGCAGGAGTTCCTGACCCCTGAGCAGCGGCGATTTGCTGTCCGGGGAGTTCCTACCTTGCTGGAGGTCTCAGGATTCTCCTATTTCTATGGTGCCTTCATGGTGGGGCCTCAGTTCTCCATGACAGACTATCAGAAACTGGCAAGGGGTGAGATGACTGACGTTCAAGGACAGAGACCCAATAGGTAACAAAAAGCCACTTAGCTCCTCACCTTCCTGAGATCCCAGAATGCTGAATCCTCCACATGTTCCCTGCAGCAAAGTGCCTTCTCACCTGGACACTGAAGTACGGTGACCAAAAGTGACTTACAAGACAAGGCAGTCTTTCAAAAGTTGCTCATAACTCTCTGCATAATGTCCTAGCATTGTTCCAGGGCATGAACGTCAACAACCATTTGACATCTTTAGTACAGACTCGGTCCCAACCTGGTAATGTTAGCATCCCAGCTTCCAAACGGAGGCATCTGCTGCAGTGGAACATGGTGACTCCCTATCGCTATCTCCCCTACCTCTTCTTCTCCACTTCTGTTTTTAAAATTATGAGTTTGAAGGTCTCTTTCCGAGGCTTTTCTTTGACCTTCATATTTTTCTTTCTCAGTTTTGTGCCTGCTCTCAAGCGCCTGAGTTTGGGTCTCTTGTTTCTAGTAACCTATACTTTGTCAAGCCTGTACGTCTCTGATGAATACCTCATCTCAGATGATTATATGGTATGTATTCATTTGGCAGTTCTGGGGTGTGGAAGAATTCTACTGCTCTGGTGGGCAGTGGATCTACAAGAGTGGATTTTTATTTTTAGTTTTGCCTCAATTTAAAAATAGGGTAAGTCAGCAACTAGTGATAAGCCTTTCCACAACTGATTTGGCTTTACTGCCTGTCCTGTGGATTCCATTTGACGCAGAACAGGAATGTGTTAAGCTGAACTGAACCAAATGAAAACTTTTACAAATAGACAATTAATCTTAGATGCTACTGTTGTTTTTGGAAACCTAACATATGTATTTTGTGACCTTTTAATGACCTTCCATTTAACCATTACATGCAAGGAACTTCACTAGAGTAACTTGCAAGGCTTACCAGAATCTTTGAGGTTCTTGGAAAACTCTTAATAAGTAATTCCTACCTAAAGATTATCAGTGTTTGTGTCAGTATGAATAAATGAGGGTGTAAATTCCACAATGATTATGCTAACCACAGAGTCTTCCCAAAGTACCTACTTCAGTACAGCCAAATATTACCAAAGGAAGGAGAATGATGTGTAAATTTGCATAAGCCAATAGCCTGGCAGTCCAGTCCATGTAGCAGTCCCAACACATACATCAGATTAAACTGAAAGACAGTGATGAGATCTCGTCTATTTTGTCTTATTATTGCCACTCAACTCCATTTTTAATTTTTATTCTATTTCACTGTTATCTCTGCAGGAGAAGCCTTTCTGGTTCCGTTGTGGTTACATACTGATCTGGGGCAAAATTATACTCTACAAATACGTAACCTGCTGGCTTGTTACGGTGAGTCTAGATGTCATTCCAGAAACAAAAGACAAATGAACAAAGATAGTACCTTTGCAGCTACTTAGTATGCTCTTGGACTTAGTGCTAAATGGAAGTAAGCCAAATGTCTGGAGATCAGTGCAGGTCAGTTTAGCTTGCTTTAAGTTAGCAAAGGCTAGCTAACTAAAAAGCAGGCAGTTTTTAATCCATTTGTTCCATCTGCAGTAGTGTCTCTCCACTCAACACAGTGAGTTAGAGCTTCCCCAGCTCTGCCTTTCCAAAAAAAAAGGGGGCAATGTTTTCCTCTCATCTCTTTCTTGTGAATCTTTTTCCATAGGAAGGTGTCTGCATCCTTGTTGGTCTGGGGTACAATGGAAAGGACCAGAGTGGAAAGCCTTTGTGGGATGCCTGTGCCAACATGAAAGTCTGGCTGTATGAGACAACACCTTTGTTCACAGGGACCATTGCTTCTTTCAACATCAACACCAATGCTTGGGTGGCCCGGTGAGCAGGACAAAATTCCCCTTCTGTAATGTGTTGGTAACGTCTGTCAACAGAACCAAGGTCCTAGGCTGAGAGGGAGCACTAGAGGAAGAATCTGCCAGTTTTCAGTTCTTACACTTTCTTCCACGTTTTGCTGCTGTCCCATTTGAAACAGGTTACTGGGTCAGACAGATCTTTTCATTCAATCTAAAAGGGCAGTTCATTAATATAGGCAAGCAGTTGATGGCAGCAGGAGGGCAGAGGCTAGAACGGGACCACAGCGAGCCCTTTGGCCTGCCCGGTCAAACAGCTGCAGAACTGCTCTAACAGCTGGTTCCTACATCATGCCTCTTGATGCTCCCTATGCAATGACTCCACCGGGTTTTGGTTCGGCACTTGCTGGGGGACACAACTGAATTGTAAAATACCTTCATTTCTGTGTGCGTTGTCGGATGAACCACTTCTCCCCACTAGCTGGGATTTCTTTAAGACAAGGGCTGAGGTACACTGTGCCCTGGTAAGGGGAGCTGTCTTGCTGTTTCTGTCACTACAGGGTGTGCAAAGGCATACGGTCCCCTGGGCCCTGCACCTCTGACACGGAGAGGGGAGGACAGACAATAAACTAGAAGCACTTTGAGTTTGTTTCTTTTCTGCTCTAGCTACATCTTCAAGCGTCTGAAGTTCCTGGGTAACAAACTGCTGTCGCAGGCACTGGCCCTGCTCTTCCTGGCCATTTGGCACGGGCTGCACTCTGGCTACCTGGTGTGCTTTCAAATGGAGTTGCTTATAGTCATCGTTGAAAGACAGGTGCGCTTTGTCTGACTTACCAGAATGGGGTGGCCTGCGTTAGCCTTTCCCCGTGACTCTGGAAACTGCCACGCTGAAGGCTTTACTTGGAGTAAATATGAAAAATAGCTGCTCACTTTGGAATTGGGTGTTCAAACATGATACGGTTCTGTTCTCAAGAGTTCAGTAGGTTGCTGGCTTCTGCACAGGCAAGCCATAAATTTATTGGAGAAGCTGACAGGAAGAAAAGTGGAGAACTTGGCATATGTGTAGAAGGTAACTGAAGTGCTTGGCAGCTGGAAAGGCTGGAGGACAAGCACGAGCTGAATGCCTCTGCTAAATCTCCCAGTACTGAGAGAACAACATTCCATATTTAAACTTTTTTTAATTAAAACTTTGAGCAGGACAGGGTACTTAGCTACTTTTTTAGACTAACTGCTTACTAAAATTCATTTTACACAGCTGGATAGATACTTTGGCCCCAGAGCCTGCATATATAGCCATAGGACATCCAACTGAGGAGAATTCTGTTTTTTCTTTAAATTAGATCATAAACCTTGTTCGGGACAGTCCTCCCCTAAGCACTTTGACCTCCATCACTGCCTTGCAGCCCATCTTCTACGTGCTGCAACAGGCTAACCACTGGATGTTTATGGGTTACTCTCTGGTGCCATTTTGCCTTTTCACCTGGGACAAATGGATGAAGGTATTTAGTAGCCACAAACAGACAACCCATCCTTTTCCCTCCATGCCTTCTCATATGTTCTTGGCTCAAAGCTGCTTGCTGATCCTTAACCCTGCCTTTCTCTTTACAGGTGTACAGGTCTATTTATTTCTTTGGCCATGTGTTGGTCTTCAGCTTATTATTGGTGTTGCCTTACATTCGCAGATTAATTGTGCCACGAAAAGAAAAACTAAAAAAAGCAGAATAACAGCCAAAAGGTAAGGTCATGCTATGCAGAGAGAATCTCACACTTGGACTGGGAGGTGAAGCAGGGCAGCAATATTACATCCCAAGGTAAAAGGCAAACATAAAACCAACAGAAACAAATCTAGCACTCTTCTCTTTTTCAGATTGTACCACCTGTGCATTTCTAGGAGTTGATTTAACACTCCGGAATCAACGCATCACCTGCCAAGTTTGCTGTGTTGAAGTATGACTTTTTTTCAACGTGAGGAGGGGGAAAGAGAAAGCACAGGGTCAGAGACCCGAAAGGAGGGGAATGGAGTAAGCCTCCTTCCAGAGCCTCCACCTTCTGTATGTTGCCTTATCTCTCTGCCGCCCTCCAGTGGACACTCGTGTCTCTCTGCTGGTATCAGATGATTGTAAAAACACTCAACGCAGGCACTGTATTGGATTGGAGCCACCTTCTGACTTTTCTACGTTTGTCATCCAAGATAAAAATTGCTCCTGGTCTTTTTCATATCGGCTTCAGCTCCTTTCCTCTTGAGTGCCTCGGTGTGGGAGTGTGAACTGTTGCACACCACTGAGTAAGGTGATTCTACAGGACTGAGTAGCTTCACCTGCAGGGTGAGTAGGGCACAGCTAAAAATTTCAGTTCCATGACAAATTTGGGCTGAGTCCCTGCTATAAAGGGATCAAGCCTGCCCATGTATTAAACATGAGAAAGTAAAATACACAAGCACTCTTATCAAAAGTGACCTTTAATAGGAGGGAAAAAAAGGTCAGTAGGGCAGTCCATTTAAAGTCTCATTGCTCCAGAAGCTACAAGGACAAAATTGAAGCCTTTTCCCTTCCAGAAGCCCAAAGTTGCACCAGGTTCACACCTAAGTAAAAGAGCCTCTCCAGAACACGGAGTCACTGTATAGGAGTCCACCATGACAGTAGTAGCAGCAGAAGCTCATACTACTCCCCAAACTTCCTCAAAGGCAGTAGTAATTTTAGCACATGTCAGGGCAGCAGAGAGGGGATAGTTGCTGATGGAGACCATCTTTTCTGTATAGTCAACATTGACCTAGAGAAAGAGAGGGGAGAAAAAAAAAAAATCAAGCTGCAAGTTTTCACTTAGTCCCATCTATCTCCATTGGTTGGAGGGGCACAGTATTTCTCCAAGGTTGAGCACGGGTACAATAAAACACAGTAGGACAACTGCTAGCCCTCACTAGTGCCCTCTCTCGGCAGGGAGAAAAGTCCCAAGTGTTGCAGCATTGGGCCTTTTTTTGACAAGCCTACCTGGGGGAAAAGAAGGAGGGGGAGGGCAGGACAGGGGTGACCAAGCAAAAAAGAGCAGAAGAAAAAACACACATACTCAGAACTAGACTGAAATCTATGCTGATAAAGATTTTTACAACTCCAAGTAAGGGATACATGCACTTACCGAACCGTGGGCAAAAGCTCCCACAACAATGGCAACTGGCTCTGCTGTAGGAACTAGTTCACGCAGATCTGACACCTTTGGAACTGCAAAAGAGGTACCTATCTTCATACAGCCCACAGGGAGATGATCACTGACTGGATTTTTAATCACCTGCAGAAAGTTAATAGGGGCATAGAGGTAAGAGACCCTGCCACATAGCTAAGTCCATAGTTTGTAAAAAAAAAAAAAAATTAAATAAAAAAAATCACTCCTACATCACCAGCTGCAAAGGAGGAATGTTGCAACATTACCTGTGAACAGTCAAAGAATGTTTACCTTCAACAATTTCTGAGGCCCATCGGCTGCTCGAACACTGAGCTTATGCAGCAACTGAACTGATAAGAGAAGAAAATTAGTTTAGCTGTCTGTTCTTTTGCCAGAGGAATCCTATCTTCTACCTAGTGATCAGAGCTAAAGTAGACAAAAAGTCTATCTTTAGAGTTCCCAGCATCTTCTAAAGCAGTCCTAAGAAATACTGATCAGCAAGTTACTTTGCTGCTAGTACAGTCTCATGCAGGCACTCCCCACTGTGCTAAGGAACACATAGTTGGACTATGCATCCTGGAACTTGCAAAAAGACACTTTCATTTCTCTGCTCTTTTCTCAGTTTCATATTTTTAAGGTTGGTGCAACTTTTTGACTCTTCCCAAAATTCTTCCACCCCTAACCGCCTTCCTGCATTATTTTGTGGCTGGTATAAAGTTTGAATCACTTACCCATAAGACCACAGAATCGATCAAAAGTTCTTGGGATTCTGGTTTGGGGATTGACTTCGATTAGAACATTCTTCTGGGTATGGATATAAACCTGCAGGAGACCAGCCCGATTCAGGGGGCTGTCCATGAGCATCAGGAGACTCTGAAATAGAAAAACACGCAGTAGTGTAAGTAGAAAAGGTGCAAGAGAGAGGACTCTTGGAAAACTTGAGGGTTAGGCCCCATAAATGCAGAAGGGACCGACGTTGAGGCAGAAAGGAGTTCATCCAGCCATACGAGCTCTGCTGCAATGCTGAGCTAAAGCAATCCTCTATCCAAATAAAGAGAATTACTAAACTTACAAACCACGAACATAGTGGGTAAGGGCCAACTCTCGCCCCCGTTCCACGGGCACAAGCAGACCCCGAGGCTGAGAGACAACCTCCCTCAAGCCGACCACCCTGCCGCCGCCCCGAGCAGCCCAGGCCGCCGCAGACGCTGCCCGGATCCAGCCGATACCTGGTGGGTGATGTCGGGTCGCACCTCCCCGGGGTCCCGGCCGTTCCGCAGCAGCAGCGCCTTGTGCTTGTCGCAGTTGAGGAGCTCGAACGTCTTCCCCACCTACGGCCAAAGCATGGAGAGGTGGGCAAGGGCGCCCG